ACCCCTTCAGAGGATGGCATGATAAGAATAAGAGGTAGGAACTGGCTAGGCAGTTAGGGTAAAAAGACCCCAAAGAAATGTAGCCAGTTTCTTGGCTAAAAGTCAAAGTGTCCTTGGGCCTGTTAGCAACATACTCTGTTCCAAGGCCAAAAATTGTCAAAAATATTTGGGAGCTTGTAACTAATCCTTAAAAGATTTTAGGGTTACTTATTCAGAAGGAGGAATGTTGGAGGAGAGGGTGTGGGCATGGATTTGACCAAAACACCATATATGCATGTATGAAATTCTCAATAAAGTTTTTGTAAACAAAATATATGATACAAACCCTGCAAACCTATCTAGACTAATTTAGTTACAACAAACTTTTCCTTTTTATGCTTTAAGAAAGGACCTTTGAGGACTTTTAACCATCCCATGTTCCTCCCCCCTCAGTATCTTTGTGTTTGCATGTATCACTTCCTCCTCTCTACCCAACTCCTTCTTATCCTTCCCCGATCAGCACAAATGCCAGAAAATGTTCCCCTGACTTCTAAATCAAGAAGAGAATGCTCACCAGCAAAATGATCTAATTACTTATGTGCTTCCCTCATGGTACCTAGCAAGTTAGAATTCTACATTTATTCATGTATACATTTGGTTTTTATTATTTTAAATGCTAAGCTCCATGTTGATAAGGAATTATATTGATTGCATGTTACAATATATACCTTTTTCACAGCACTATGTTTGGTAAATGAGTTATTTGAATGACGGAATGAATGACTAACAGTTATTTAAAGGGATATAAACTCAAGTTCTCTGTCGAGAAGAGTAGGTGATTATAATAGAATTCTTCTTTCTAATGTTCATCCAGTTCAGCATCCTTTCATGGTAAAACTTCTCAAGAAAAATATAATATAGAAGGAAATAACTTCATCGTAGTAAAGGCCACACTTGAAAAATTCACAGCTAACATCATAATCAATGAGGAAAAGCCTAATATTTTACCTTTAATAAGATCTGGTACATGGGGGCTGGAGAGAGGACTCAGTGATTAAGAGCATTGTCTGATCTTGCAGAGGACCCAGGTTTGGTTCCCAGCACCCACATGACAGCTAACAGCTGTCTGCAACTCCAGTTCTAGAAGATCCAACAACTTCTTCTGGCCTGTGTGGCCACTGAAAGAATGGCACAGGCACACCTACATGCAAACAGGTAAAGCACTCATACCCATAAAATAAAAATAAATAATTTTTTACAAAAAGATCTGGGGCCTGGCAAAGTTGTCTATGCTTGTCTTTTCTACTTAGCACAGTACTAGAAGTACTATCAAAGCAATTAGATGAGACTAATGAGGAAAACTAATTTATAAAGGAAGAGATAGAACCACCCTACAATGATCAGGAAAAGGAGCGCTTTGACCATCCTCCAGAGGCTGCAACACTGACAGTGGCTCTTTCCTCGCCCCCCATTTCCCGATTGTGACTATCAAGAGCTGATGTGACTCAGAGCATCTACCTGCTTCTCCATAAGATAGCAATAATCCACCTTATTGTTATTAGTTACCCTCATTTTTCCACTAATATATTTGTTTTTAATCTTAAAAATTCCATAGGGAAGTACAACGTTTTTTCTCTGATTTACTTAGAACACTGTGCTATTATTTAAACCGTTTGTAGTTGCTTTTGTAGTTATTATTGCATTTAACACATAGGAAAACTGAGACTTAATAATTTATTTACATCCCAAGCACACACAGATAGCCTGGGACACCTACTAAGAATATATGATTTTCAAAACAATGCTTTCTCTACTCTTGTAGTAGTGATCCATGCCACAATACAGTTTGAATCTAGAATGTCCCCTTGAGGCCCATGTGTTAAAAGCTTTGTTCTAGCGTGGCGCTGTTGGGAAGTAGTGGTAAAGTTGGGGGCTAGAGAACAGCCTTGAGAGCACTGAAGTTTGTTCTCAAAGGTCATTATGGTATGGGGTCATGGTCCCCTTTTCACTTTTGTCTCATGGGTGTGAAGTAAGTAGTTTTGCTCCATTGTAGAACCCCACCATAGTATATTGTCTCATCATAGACCCACAGCAATTGGACCCATCAATCCTGGACTGAGACTTCTTAAACTGTGAACTAAAATAGGTCTTTTCCCTTGATAAGTTGATTATCTCAGATGTTTGTTATAGTGGCAGAAATTTAACAAATTCCATATTTAGCTTTTAGATATATTAGTCTACATATTGTCCAGTAAAACACTTTTAATTAGATCTGACCATTTACAAATCAGATAACTTCCCATAAAAATTCAAATTTAAATCTTACATATAAAACAATTATATCTAACAACACTAGCACATACCTACAGGCCAACAGCTCCCAGATGTCATGCAACTTTGAGATGTCACAATCCCTGAATGTCCTTATTGCTGTTCCTCCACCCACCTTCACATCTATGAACACTGTTTGGTTCATCTAGGCATCTGGGTTTTCAACTTAAGTTTTACAGTCTGTTAGAGAAAGAAGTCCTTATATCTTTAAATTTTTTTCTTTATTTTGATGCCATATATGTATACAATGAAATATGATCAATTTCTCCCTCTTTAAATCCTCCCATTTCCCTCTTCATAGCATGAACCTCTCTCAGTTTCAAGTGACTCATTCTTATCTTAGGATGTGGGCCCCGGTAGGTTTTCCATGCTCCAATGAATGGCCCCACACACATGCAAGTACAGGAACATCAACTGGAATTAGGAGGTTAATGCTATGTCTTGATCAAAATTTATCATCAGGAAACAAATATTTCCTCTCTCTATGAGGGAGTGACACATGTATTGACATCTTTATGTCCTTGGGTTTCTTTAGTATTACCTCTTCATGTGTATCTTGGAAGACTGGTCTGATTTCTTTTGATTACAAAGTCATAAAATTTAGTTGGCTGGTTTTAGTATTTAGTTGCCTGGAATGGTTTCCAATGGAAGTTTTAACTTCATAAGAGTTTGGAGAGCTTTGTGGTTGTTTTGACAAATATAGTCTTCTGTTACTTAGTTTTTCATCACAGTGATAAAATGTTTAAGATAATCAAGTTAACAGGAGGAAACATTTTTTGACTCATGGCTTCAGAGGTTTTAGTTCATGGTTACCATGTCCCATTGCTCTGGGCCTGCGAAGGCATCATGCAAGGGAGTGTGTTGCAGAGGAAACTGCCTTGTCACTTGGAAGACAAAAAAGAAGGAGAGAGGGAAAGGAAAAGAGAGAGGGAGAGAGAAGAAAAAAGAATAGAAAAGAAGAAGCAAGAAGGTGAGGGAAAGAAGAAAAAGGAGAGGGAGAGGGAGAGGGAAACGGAGGGAGAAGAAGAGAGAGAAGAGAGAGAGAAGGAGATGGAGGACAGCCAGAGAAAGAGAGAGGGGGAACATCCTTGCATTCACTTCAAGAGCACATCCAGCTTCCTTCCACTGGGCCCTACCCACTAAAGGTCCATCAGTTCCCAGCAGCACCACAAGCTTTGGAGAAGGCTGTTAGCATGTGGTTTTGAGGGAATATTTGAGATTCAAAACATAACACAGGTGGAGACTCCTGTATCCGTTGGTCTCACAGTACAGTCTCTTTCAAGTAAGACACTGACTGATAAAGAAGAGCTTTCCTGTTGGTGTCAGGACTACAGGACATGGCCCTTTGGTGCACTCTAGCACTGGTGGGCAAGGTTTCCCAGGTGAAAAGTCATTGGCATCTGATTTAGCAGAAATCCCATTTAGAGCAATTGTCATCTTGATTTTGGGTATTGCTGGCCTCAACTTCAGTGTTTCTGATTTCTTTTCTCATTTTCAGTTCCTGGCTTAGTTCAGTTCAGTTCCTGGCTGCCTGCTGACGCCGGCTTCTGTATAGTCCCACTGTCTACCAGCCCATCCTTACTCCTGAGGCAGAGCCTTCCTACTGCATGTTGAGCCCTGTCACTCACAGAGCACTTCCATAGATACTGCCCTGCTTCAGCTTTAGAACAATCCGGATTCAGGTCTTATTAGTCCTGGGAAGTGATGGATCAAGAGTCTATAAAATTTAGCAAGTGGATATGTGGAAGAATTTTCGATATTTTGATATTTGATATTCTGTGGCAATAGCTCATTACCAAAAAATCAGCTTTCTCCCCAGTGAATTTAAGTTACCACACCAAGTATGGCTTTTCATACATACATATTATTTCTTTTAAACATTTATTCATCTATTTTGTGTGTGTGTATGAAAAGCATGTGTGTGAAGGTCAACAGATAACTTGCAGGGGTTGGTTCTCTCTTTCCACTATGGGGATCCCTGGGATTGAACTGTGGTCATCAGGCTTGGTGGCAAGTGCACACTGAGCTATCTTGCCTGTCCCATTACACACTATTCTCATTTGTTATACTTACACACTAACCTCTCCCCACCTACTCCTTATTTCAAGTCTCCTTCATCCCTGAATGGTTGTTTTTGCTTTCATGTCACATATACTCCATCTTTACCATCTCTCATCTCTTTTTCCATATATAAATAAATAAATATATATGGTGTATGTATCAGTTTAAATCTAGATTCTGCAGATGAGGAAAAAGATACAGTATTTGTTGTGTCTGACTTACTTTGCTTAACATAATGATCTTCCAGTTCCATCCATTTTCCTACAACTTTTCCTTAGTCTTAAAAACATGTCTCTGAATTGATAAAGTATTCATTCAACTTTTATGAATGTTTTTAATGTATAAGACATCTGCCAAAGCTGGGCATGGTGACACACTACATTTAATCCCAGCACTTAGGAGGCAGAGGCAGGCAGATCACTGTGAGCTTGAGGCCAGCCTGGTCTACATAGCAAGTTCCAGGCCAATGAGGTTATAGGGAGACCCTGTCTCAAAAAGACAAAAAAAAAAAAGAAAAAAAAAAGAAAAAAAAAGACTTCTGCCAAAGTTGTTGGTTCAAAACTTGTCTAAACATAGTAGCATCTAAATGAAAGCAGATGTATTTACACGCTGCAATGCTTTCCCTTCAGCAGCCTTCACCTGACCTCGAATTTGACCGTGTGGTGATTTACACCACCTGTCTTCGCGTGGTAAGGACAACCTTTGAGAGATGTGAACTTGTTAGAAAGATCTTCCAAAACCATCGAGTAAAATTTGAAGAGAAAAACATAGCTCTTAATGGTGAATATGGAAAAGAGTTGGATGAGAGATGCAGACGAGTTTCCGAAGTGCCTTCTCTCCCTGTCGTGTTCATCGATGGCCATTATCTTGGGGTGAGTACACTGTGGAGGTGAACTGCCTTTGCGATACACCCCACCCGGAGATGACAGAAATACACACACCTGTAAGACAAGGTGACTTGGAACTTAACTACCAGGGAATTTGCTATTTTTGGAGTAAAACCCAAAGGGATTAAGTTTTATTTCTATCCTAAACAATGTGCTCATCTCGGCAAAAATAAAGTGAAACACAGTCAGTGTGAAATTGCCTTTTGAAATAGAAATACATTTCTGAAATGCTCAGTTAACTTTGAATTTTGCATTTTAAAGAATGATGTGAGATATACTATTTTTTTAGTGCAGACAAGAAAAATGGAATATTTATAAGATGTACATTTGTAAAGTCTCTTTCACATAGTCAAACACCCAGTTTCCTATCTAATGAACCTAAAATAACAGTCTTAAATGAGATTAGTAGGAAATGGTATTTGGAGCCCAAATTTTATCTGCTTATTCCTCAAAATTATTCTTGGCTTTGGTAATAGAGAAGTGTGACGTGGATTCGGGCTTACAGGAAGCTGAGAAAACACAACTTCCAGAGCAGCAGCAAACATGCTTTCCTCCTTGCTCTTTGAATAATATTGCTACTGTTATTAACCTTCATTGATGATGCTTGGGTAAGACACCCTGGGAGAGAGCTCTGGAGAAGGTGAGAGTGAAGAGCTCAGGGCATAGTAACCACTGAAGGAAGTAGCTGACCATTTGATCCCTTATCAGAGAGAACAACCTTGCTTTCAAACCCTGGAAAGATACTTGGATCTTGGTCATGGTTAGCATTGGATCTTAACCTTTAGCATTGAGGGAAAGATAGAAGACTGTATATCAGGAAAGGCTCTTGTTTGCTTTCAGGGATTCTGTGTTCTATTATACAGACCATTCCTACTGTTGTTAGAGGCTGTCTGTTATCTTAGGGAAAGGTAAATACCAAGTAGCCATGATTATGTATCTATGATGTCATGAGATTGGATTTTCACCAGAACTGGGAACGCACTGCATTTTGAGGTAGAGGAATTTTGAGTTGTAGCATTAATTCTCCTTCGGTGTATTTCAACATATACTTAGGTCCTAGAAAACTTTAACAATAGCAGTAACAATAGTGTTAAAATAAGAATAGGGACAGTGTTCTAGTTTGCCCTCAATCGCTGTGACAAAACACTCTGACCAATACCAACTTGGAGAGGAAAGGGTTTATTTAGCTTACATCTCCGGGATCACAGCTCATCACTGAGGGAGCCCAAGGCAGGAACCTGGAGGCAGGAGTTAGAGCACAGGCCATGGAGGAACGCTGCTTACTGGCTTGATTCCCTGGCCCATGCTCAGCCTGCTTTCTTATACAATACAGAACAACCTGCCTAAGGGTGGCACTGCCTACAATGGAATGGGACCTCCCCACATCACTCAAAAATCAAGAAAATACCCTACGGACATGGCCACAGGCCAGTCCAATGGATTCAGTTCCCTGAGTGAGGCTCCCTCTACCCAGGTGTGTCAAGTTGACAACTAAAGCTATTTAACACAGATAGTAACAATATTATGCTGCCTTCTCAGCTTACACTTATGGTACACTTGATGCTCAGGATAGCCCCAGAGCCCAGCCCTCCTATGGTATATTGGTTAAGAAGTAAATGATGGGCTCAGGCAGATGTTTTTCACGTTCCTACTTTGGTATTTATCATGTGACACTGGGATGATAATAAAAATGACCTCATAGGCTGATTTTGAGACTCCACTGGGAGGAACGAAGCAGGTTTTCAGGAAATACTGAGGATTTCTCATTTTTCAACAGTATATTAATGTTTTTGCTCTAAGTGACATAGCTAACCAAAGGGCATGGTCAGTGCTCAAAGTTAGCTCTGTCTGACATTCCAAAGCCTTGTTTTCTGGAAGATCACCTTGAGAAACTTTTGATTGCTGTTTTCTCTTAGCATCTAGAACACAGCTTGCAACAAAGTAGATGCAACAATAACCATATGTGTGTATTGGTGTGTGTATGACATGGCTTTGCTTCCTCATATTCTTTCCCTCCGTCTCCAAGTTCCTCCATAGAGAGATGATCTGATAGCCTCAGCTATACTAGAGAAAACCTAACTTAGGTTTCCGGACTGGGGCTGAGGAGGTAGCTTAGTTGGTAGAGTGCTTGCCTAGTATGCACAGAGCCTATGAGTTTGATCCCAACATTGCATAAATGGGATGTGGTGGTGCATTCATGTAATTCTATCACTTGCACTTGGGTCATGAAAGCAGGGTTTCAGAAGTTCAAGGTCCTTGGTGCCACAGTGAGTCTGGAACCAGTCTGAGATTCATGAATCCCTATGTTAAAACACACAACAACAACAACAACAACAACAACCAATCAAACAACAGAAGACACCTATAGACCTAAAAATTCCGACAGTATAAAATATTTCTCATTTGTAATGTCCATTTCAGGAAACTGTACAATTAAAATTGATGGGAAACTTCTAGCATCGACAGGTACAAGATTAGCTCCACTTCCTGTGGTTCTTGTGACCTCTTATGTTGCCATCCAAAATCCAAACTATTTAATCTCTGCGTATGTCTGAGACAATGTATTGGGTTCTGATACTTACTGGGTCATTTGTCTTTCAGTTAGAGGGGCCAAGGATGTTTGATACAGACAATGAGGTCAGGATCCTGACTCTCAATTGCCTTTCTCCCTCATCTCTTTATTTGCATAGTCAGTAGTCTAGGACAGGAAAGAAGCACACAGGTGCAATTCTGCTGCTTCTGTAATTTGAAGTTGATAATCTACGCCTGGAATGAATCAAGAATCAGGTATTTTCTCCTTTATTTTTCTCATAAAGGGAGAATGATGTCTAATCCTTCCATTCAAAATGGCAAAAGGGCTAGAACAGTGTATGTAACAAATTCTCCTCCAAATCCAATTGACCTTTGTCTGAATCCAGATACAAAACTGTCAGTGAAATACATCATATTCTTTACACTAAGGAGAATTTCTCCTGTACAATTTATACATCTGAAATGGAAGGATGCCCTCTGCTGGGTTTTGGTACACTATGAAATATTGTTTCCAGGAAGGAAAATTAGGTTGCGGCTGGTGACTGACTTCCTTACCATTTTTACATTTGTAGCATTTTAAGTATTCACATGAAACCATTTAATTCAGTTTAAAATTAGATGAGTGTGAAAGATCATGATATGGAACTCAGCTCTACAGTACAACTCTCTTTAAGGAGGGAGCAATAGAAAAATTGGAACAGCCAGAGAAAGCGAGGGAGAGAGACAAGGATGGAGGTAGCTGGAGACAGAATATGGACAGTGAGGTGGGGTCAGGAAAGCAGGACAATGTTTGGCAGCTCCTTTCCTGATGCACCAGGACACAGGTGGTTTACACTGATGGAATTCAGACTGCCTCTACCTCCCTAGTACCAGGATTAAAAATGTGTACCACTATACCCATTCCCAAGGACTACTCTTAAAACTCCTTAGCAGAGTGGATCAGAAAGGATGCTTCTGCCACAATCAAGAAATAATCATTCCAGAAACATGGTGCTTTTATTGGGATTCATACTGTCAGAGAGAACCATTTGTTCTTTGCCCTTCTTTCTTTTCAATTCTGTTCCTTAAGTCTCCAGTGAGTTGTTTTGAACCGTATACACTAAGTAACAAGCCTAACTGAAGAATTTGCACAATGGTCTTCGCGTTCTAGCCTTAACGAACAGTAAGGCATTTAGGATGAAGATTGGATCTATGATCTAATGATTGATTCAGGCATGCTGTTTAGTTTATTACTTTTAATCAACTATATTAAGGTAGAATTGTATCCACTTAAAGTACGCAGCTGAGTCTAGTATGGTAGTGAGCACATGTCTCATCACTGAGGAGGCATGGACAGGAAGATTACTGAAGCCCAAGAGTTCAGGATTACCCTGGCTATATAGTGAAACTGTGTCAATAAACAAACAAACCAATAAATAGCATTCTATGACTTCTGATAAATATGTACACTCAGAAACCCATTACTCCATTGACAGCTTATAGCTGTGCATTACATATTAGTATTTCAGTTAATGACCTACCCCAATATGCATTGGTGGTTTTGTGAGACTATAATGAAGTTGAAAATTTTCAATTCCATACTGATATCATCACATTGCAGCATATTGCACCACCCACCTGTCTGTGGTGATGCTCTGTGAACAAACCTGCTATGTGTCCTGTCATCTGAAAGTACAGCGATACTGTTAACTATTGTAGTTAAACTTAATAATAATTGTGGTACTGGTTTATATTGTTACTATATTAACTTTTCTGTTTGTTTTGAGACAAAGTGTTGCTATGTAGTCTAGGCTGGCCTCAGAATCTTAGTACTGAAATTGCAGACATGTGGTATCATGATTAGCTATATTGTACTGTTTAATCATTAAATATTTTCTGCTTATTAAAAAAAAGTTAACTGCATGATAGTCACTGGCAAGTCTTTCAGAAGATTTTCTAAAGGAATGCATTGTTGGAGGCGAGAGTCGGAAAGTGTTGCTATGTAGTCTAGGCTGGCCTCAGAATCTTAGTACTGAAATTGCAGACATGTGGTATCATGATTAGCTATATTGTACTGTTTAATCATTAAATATTTTCTGCTTATTAAAAAAAAGTTAACTGCATGATAGTCACTGGCAAGTCTTTCAGAAGATTTTCTAAAGGAATGCATTGTTGGAGGCGAGAGTCGGTGGTATTGATGATTCTGGCCCTGTATCAGCCTGGACTAAGGTATTTGAGTCTTAGTTTTTAATGGGGAGTTTAAAAAGCTTTGAAAAATTTAAACAATAAGAATTTAAAGAAAAATTTTTGTATAGATGTGCAATATGTGTCTTAAATTGT